AACACCATCTCCACCGTCAAACATGGAGGTGGAAACATTATGCTTTGGGGGCCAACTACAAGAAACGTCTGACCTCTGTGATTGCCAACAAGGGTTTTGCCACCAAGTACTAAGTCATGTTTTGCAGAGGGGGTCAAATACTTATTTCCCTTACTAAAATGCAAATCAATTTATAACATTTTTGACATGCGTTTTTCTGGATTTTGTTGTTATTCTTTCTCTCACTGTTCAAATAAACCTACCATTAAAATTATAGACTGATCATTTCTTTGTCAGTTGGCAAACGTAGAAAAATCAGCAGGGGATCAAATACTTTTTTCCCTCACTGTATATATATGGGTATTTTCACCGTTTCAGATATGTCTGGCTGGCGTGCAAGGGTCGGCCAAAACACCATCCAGAGGGCTTCTCTAGAGCTCCCACAAGTGTGGGGTGAGGGGGCTTCTACCAGCAGTGGCTTGAGCAAGCAATTGTAAGGGCTGCACCTTTAATCTTCCAAAAAATTATAATTGTAATAAATGGGACAGGGCATGGAGAGAATATTTCATTACCTTTCTAAAAAATAAAGGACTTTTATAAAACATAAAGGTCACTTGTTTAAATTTATATTTTATCATGAGAGATTTGTTTACGAAGTTAAATGGTTAAAGTGGAACTCAACATATCACTATATTATTCGTGCAGGTAGCAGAATTTTATTGACATGAACAACTAACCACCCATGTCACCAATCCCAGCAGCAATTAGGGCTCTCTTCCTTTGTGTGTCGTCTTGTAAAACAAGCAATGGATACTTGTCCCCATTTTAGCTGCAATACAAGAAACCAGGAAATATGTAAGGTATATATGCAGTCAACTCAATAGGTAAATAAAAAATGTGATTTTAAGGAGAAAAATACATTTTTATTTAAAGCTTTCGTGACTGCAGGGATTCATATTCTTGGTTCTTTCGGTAAAGTCACATAGAAGGGAAACAATAAAATAATAAAAATATAAAACAATAAGATTCTCACGACGTTTCGACTGCAACACAAGCAATCATCATCAGGTGTGAAAACCACAACAAGAAAATTTGAAAAAAGTGGCGGTTTTTTTGAATATTAGCACCACAGATAGCGATTTGACAGTTTGTTCAGATGGACGAGTCCATCTATGTTCGGAAAAGAGGAGGGGGGAGACGAAAAATAATGGCTGCGGTCTGAAAGCCACCTTAAGCGTGATCAATCAATTAAGACCCAAAATGGTTTATCAAATCCTTCCAATGATTGCTAAACGTTAAAAAACCGCCACTTTTTTCAAATTTTCTTGCTGTGGTTTTCACACCTGATGATGATTGCTTGTGCTGCAGTCGAAAAGTCGCGATAATTTTATTGTTTTATATTTTTATTATTTTATTGTTTCCCTTCTACGTGGTGACTTTACCGAAAGAACAAAGAATATGAGAAATATACAATTCATGGAGAGAAATGTAATCCTCTCAAAAGGTAGATCATAGTAGATGATAGATCCGTATTGTTCTTCATTTCAGATGGATGGAAAAAGATGAACTTTTATTTGGATGGTCTAATCTTCCAGGGTAGCAATCACATTGATTGCATGATTGTTAGAAAGCAATTTATTTGTTAAAAATGCAATTCTCTTAAATTATTTGCATACATTTTAAGAGCGTCTTGTGTGGGATATATTTTCTGCGTATACCCACACAGCTGCAGAAGCCTGACGGTCATTGTTGAGAAACACAATTAAATATTTTTTATTACATTTGGTGAACTTTATTCATGTATCCTTTGCCAATACAGTGCGAGCAAGTCTCCACACTTTCCCAGCTTGTTAAAGGCTCCAGTGATGCACTGAGGATGAAAAAGGGTCCATGCACCATTTTTAATTCGTTGTTGCTTTGAAACAATGCTAGAGGCAGGAGGGGGAGGAGGCAAGTTGCTAGTATTTCACACAGAATTTGGCTGCACCTTGAATTTCATTATAGTTTAGTCACGGAGACTGATTCTGGAAGCATTCGTCCAAGAAAAAAAAAACGTATTTTTGTTCAAAGGAGGACAAGGCCCATTACAACATGCAGCATGGCTCAGAAGACCAGATTCTCATTTTATATATATATTTTTATTTTATGGTGTTACCAGCATTTTATGTTGAAATGGCACTCTGCCACATGATGACAAATATCCAATAATATATTGATTCAGTGGAGGCAGCTGCAGAAATCTGATGTGGAATTGTGAAAATATAACCGTGGTCATCTTGAAATGATTGCTTGTTTTCAGTATCTGGATTCCAGGAGCACTGAACATATATCAACTCTTGTTGACGTTTTGGTGAAATTTGAAGTTGACGTCCGCTTATCTATGCAAACGAGACATCAACGTTTGGCTCATTCCACAAGTCGTAGAAAACTGGCTTCTGTGCTGCCTCGATCAAACAGTGAGGTTAAAGGCAAACATCCTCAAGTCTCATTTCCGTTTTTGCCTAAATATTACAATGCCCTAAGAATAAAAATATAAAACAATAAAATTCTTCTACGTGACTTTACCGAAAGAACCAAGAAGATGAATCCCTGCAGTCACGAAAGCTTTAAATCAAATTTAATGCCCTAAGAGATTCACAGAGACATGATTTACATGGGTAAAAAAAAAATCACAAGCAGAGTGATTCATTCACGCACGACAGGAGTGCTTTCCACGGCATAGACTCTCAACACAGTGTGACTGAATGCCGCACATAAATAGGCCTGCCGGCTGGGTACATGCCCTGCATGCTAACGGTGCTATCCTGCAGCCCATGCTGGTGAGTGGCATTGCCTGCCAGCTCAAAAAGCCTGCACACTGGGCACAAGTGTACAGGTTTCCAGGGCAACCACAGCATTAAGAGATGGTTACATGTTTGTTATATGGGTGAGCCCCAGAGAACACAGAATAGAGAATATTGCTGCTCCAATGCTTATTTGCTTATGCTCAAATAGATGGGGGGGGGGGATATATCGTGTTACATTTACAAATAATAGCCTGCTAGAAAATTACACAGTTTCTGTATACTTGAAAAAACAGTGCTGTTAAGGGTTTACTGACAAACCACATGCTTTACATGAATTCTAAATTGTTTGAAAGATATGAACAATTTGTATATTTTTCATGTATTTATGCTGCACAATGACTCTTTCCAGAATTGACAGAGGTGCTGTTTAATAATGACAGCGGCAAAAATAATGCGAGCAGAATGTGTATGACGAATGTGGTACTAAATGCATTGATGGAAACATCCAGGACAGGGAAAATCCAAGCAGACATCCTGAAATTTGAGAATCATTTGCAGTGCTTCGCAATTTTAACAAACGCTCTTTTTAATTAATTCTGCAGAGCCCACATGCATGTTCCCCACTAACCCTATCACCTTAAACATACTAAAGTCAAAGTGTAACCTGGCTTAAATAAGCCCGCCCTTTATTTATTGAGAGTAGCTTAGAGTAACCAGACTTCACATGTGATAAGTACAACTGCCACGATAATGTTTCTCTACTTTAGCAGAGACCCATTCAGGTACACAGAGGTTTTTAAAGCTTGTTATGAAATCCGTTTGTCACCAACTTAACCTCCTCCCGTGTGTCACCGATTCCAGTCATTTTCCCACACGTTATAGCCAGCATTGTCCCTCTTGCTTATCACTGTGAACTCAATCATCCCCCTCCCCTCACTGTTAAATGTTCATAGAAAAAATTGATGCCATCAATCAAATGTGCTCAGGTCTGTTCAGCTTTATCTTCGTTGAGGTATTCAATCGGAATCCCGTGAGTTGTATGAGCAGCAAGTAATGTTGCATTCAGTCCGACTTTATCGATACACACAAGTCTTTCTCATGTGAAACGCATTGTATAACGCGGTTTAATTGGAATCACGTTGACTCCAATTAACACAGGGCTCTGATTGTTTTGGTCGGTGGCATACTTCCACTCGCAGGAGTCCATTTCTGTAGGAGCTTTCATCGAAATCAGCTGTGCTGTTTGGAAGAAAACCACTGGGGAAATATAAGTTTATGAATCCAGATTAGTTGTACATGAACAATGAGGTATCTTTCTATCATGAACATAAAAGCGATACAGTAATTCAGGAATATATATATATAATATTGCCGTATTGCATTTGGATTGTGCTTGCTGTGTTTTTGTTTTGTGTACATTTATTGGTATCGTAACTTCACTGTCAGAAGTTTTGCCTATCCTGGGGTAAAACAAACCAACAGTAGTGCACTGTATTAACTTCCGATCTCAAAAGCCATTCCATATAATCCCACCTAGAGGTTATAGGCTGAGATTGCCCGTCGAGTATGCTATAATTATTTATTTGTGTAGTAATAGGTTTTACCCTTTTAACTGGCACAAAAACTGCCACCTTTATTCAAGGCATCATGTTTGCAATAACCACAACACAAGCAGTCAAAATGCAAACAAAAGAGACAACTCTGATAATAATATGCACTGTCCTTGAATTTTATTGGTCCACACCCGAGACGGCTTTTCTTAGAGCCTAGTCTCCACTGGTGTTGGACCAGAAGACGCCAAAAGTTAAAAGGGTAAAACCTATTACTATATCTTGTTACTGGCAAAGGTCTCATAATATATATTTGTGGTTCAACATCGCCACCAAAGGTTACAAGTTGGGACTGCACACATAGAAGAGGCAAGGTTGCTGCTTGCCATTCTGAGAATTCACACGAATCTAAAATAAATAGTTCGTAATAAAACCCTTATTTTTTTATATATTTGATCGAAATGTAGAATGTGATACGCGTCGCCCTTGTCAATGACATTCATCATCTGAATGGGTTCTCACTTGGTTATATTTAAAGACAATACATTCCGTGTGCTCTCAAGCCACCAAATTCCCAACGAACACGGAGTGTCGCATCCAAATACTGTGGCATCTGATTTAATTAGCTGAGCAATGTAAACTTTTTTTTTTTAAAAACGATGCGTGATTATGTTCTGTTTTTCAGTTATGTTTCATCTCTATGACACCGACAGCAACAAACTGCTCGACAGCTCGGTAAGAAAAGCGCACTGTGGCCGAAGTCTGATTGTGTAAGTCAGTGGTGGTTTCCGATTTGCCCTGAAAATACATTATTCCTGTGCCGTTTGGACAGCTGCTGCCAATACATAATCATATTTTCCTTCTCTCTCTCTCTCTCTTTTAAATGTTTGTATTCAGGAGGTGGACCGCATAATCACACAGATGATGCACGTGGCTGAATACTTAGAGTGGGATGTCACAGAGCTGAAGCCGGTAAATATTAAACGAGACTTTTATCCAGGAAATGTGAATGCGTATTGGCTCGCGTGGAATTTTGTAATTGTTGAGACAAAGCCCAATTTGTGAACCGTTTCCTTTTTTCTTGCACAATGTCCTGCAGAACTTTCAGTTTGAAAAGCACCATGTATCGAGCAGACGGATCATTTTCTTTTGGTGAATTATTGAGACTTGATGAAAAAGGAAGATGATTAGTATTTTATTTCTTTTACGCCTTAAGCCTGGATTTACTACCCAGGAGAGCCAAAACTGAATCTCAATACTTTCAACAAAAAAATGAGAATCCTGCTTAGAATGTTTTGCCAAAATGTTTCTCGCATATATTGCGTAGGGCAGGAACCACAGTGACAACTGAAAACCGACATGCATGAGGGGTTAACACTCACAAATGCCACAGAGATTTGTGAGCAACATGCCCGCTGTACTTCAAGAAGTACTTTAATGCACATGTGACCCTTGTCAATGCTATTTACCATTTGAATTGGTTCTCACGTGGTTATAAATATACACAATAAATTCCAGCCATTCTCAATCCACCAGTGGATGAAGGCCTCTCCAAGCCATGTCAGTCACGTTTTTTTTTTACCATTCTTCACCGCACTGGTCAGTGTGGGTCGGTAAATAGGAGGGAGGGTAGAACTGGTTCTCATATCACTCGTCACTTTAAAGTTAACTGTGGCCAAGAATCCAACTCGGGTTGCCGGGTTCATTGCATTGCAGGACTGTAATACACGTCAATGCATTCAGCCACGGGTGTTGTGTACGTTGCAGATCCTTCGGGATATGATGCAGGAGATCGACTATGACCAAGATGGCACGGTGTCTCTGGAAGAGTGGATACAGGGTGGAATGACGACAATTCCCTTGCTTGTGCTTCTCGGCCTGGAGTCGGTTGGTAGTGCAATGTGTACACACACACAGACTGATACAAACACCCCCCCCCACCCTCGTCCCCCTCGTCCCCCCCGGCATCCACTGGTACCTTCACACATCAACAACACCCGCAATTCGCCACTAAGTGGCGGTGATGGTCACCACAGTGCCTGTGCCAGGTCAGGTGCGCCGTTAGGCCACGTGAAGTGTTATGGGCTGGCTGACTGAGATGACGTGCAGAGATGTACCAGCTGTATGCCCTCTGCCGTGCCTATTTGCTGCATTTCAGCCGCTTGGCGCTCCGCTGGTTGTTGCGAGCGTCGCTCCTCTGCCCTTCGTTGTTGTTGGAGGGCATCTGCCTCCAAATGATCGGTAGCGTCCTTCACGAGCCTTCTCCATAGAGGTCGATTTTGACACCGCTGGTACCAGTCATCGGCAAGTCCACTCAGTTTCACATCCTCCTGTACCGAATCAGTCCATCTCTTCTGCAGCCCGTGTAGTGTCCGTTTAGACCTCTCAAGAGAAGCTGCTTCGGCATGCGGTGGCTGGGCAAGCGGGTTACATGACCCAATCTTCACATACTCACTGTCCCGCAAACAATTCAGGATGGATTTGCACACACACACACTCATGGGCACAGACTCTCATTGTACTTGAGCCTCATCGAAGTTTCAGCCATAGTTCAGTCAATGTATACACGTTGTAATTCCATATAATGCCCCGTAAAAAAGATATTCGTCATCTAAATAACGTTTTTGTTACTCTTCATTTGAAGACCTTGACAAGCGTCGCAACACAAATTTAGCAAAAATCACAGCCTCCTTTTATTTCATTTTAGTATTGTCTATAACGTGTTATAGAAGGTCGACAAAATATAAAATGCCTATCTTACAATGGTTTAGTATAGGTACAGTCGCCATTTGCACTGTGAGTGCATTATGTTCATTGCAACTGCAGCACAAACCCATAGCTGTACACTTGAGCTACGAATACAGCTGTGGCAGTGCAATACAAATGTTTCCTATCAATATTTCGAACGCCTTTGCATCACTGTACACGGTATTGATTTAATGGCTGACGAACGTTTCATTGCATATTTTAAGTGTCTGTAGCAATAGACGCCCGCCCGCCAATGTCCCCTCAGAACGTGAAGGACGACGGACAGCACGTGTGGAAATTGAAGCACTTCAACAAACCGGCGTACTGCAATTTCTGCAAGGCCATGCTCATCGGCCTGGGCAAGCAGGGACTCTGCTGCACATGTGAGTCGAGAGATGCTGAGGTAGCCTATCCGAGCGCAAGCTCGCGAAGACGTACGGTGTGTCTCGACGGGTTCCGTGCGGTAGCATTTACGAATGGGTAAACTGGCTGAAATTGGGATATGGGTCTGTCTGGGATTATGATAGAGTTGGTAGGCCAGTGAATGCTTCAACTCCCAAAGAACATCTCTTGTATAGAGAGGTTGAATTTTGAGTAAAAAATTAAGCTCACATCAATGGTCACAGGGATAAGTGTGGAGCAAGTAATTAAATATTTAATATAACTGAATAACTAGAGTGTGTGTCTGTTAATGGCAGACTATTAAGCATGATGGATTTGTTATGCATTAATGGTCATATTCCTACAGAAAGGCAATTCATTTTTTTATCTTAATGCAGTGTTCTACCCATTTGTAAACATTACCACAATTTATTTAGTTGTGACCATTTTGTCGCTTCATTATTGCTTAGAGATTTATTTTTGATTTACATTCTCAGAGGACAACAATGAAGAACAATGTACAGCTCTTCTAATGTACATTTGTACAAAGGCACCACCATCTTTGATTATGTGATGTGTCCACTATCTAGTGGGCAAATCTCAAACAAATATTGCACACGAGTATCATACCAAATCGACAGTCGTAGAATCACCCTCGTATTTATGACTAGCTAGATTCACGAATTAACCTCCACATAATGTGCTGCGGTGGTACAGAGGCTAGCACTCCGTGCAATGAATCTTGCAACCTGAGTTAGATTCCTGGCAATGACTATCATCAGTGGCAAGTGATATCTGAAACAGTTATGCCCTCCCCAATTTCCTCAACCACACCACCTGACACTGGTCAAAAAACCCTGGCTGATATGGTGTTGGGGAGGTTTTCATCCATTGGTAAATTGAGAATGACTGGATTTTATATAATAGAAAAAAATATTTGGTGCAAACAGTTTGGAATATGCCACAGTACTATTTTAACCCTTTTGACGTCCATGTTTTCCCTTGAATATGTTTTTACAGTCTGTAAATACACGGTCCACGAGAGGTGCGTAGCTAAGGCACCGCTAAACTGCATCAGTACTTACGCCAAGTCCAAAAAGAGTGCCACCGTGAGTATACTTTATCATTTACTGATCATTTCAAACATTCACTTGAAGAAATACTTTTATCCCAACAATAATGACTTCCGCTTGTCCAAGTGAACACGCCGCGTAATTGTGTACCTGTACTTACGCGTTGTTATTATTTTGACGATAAAAATCTTAAGGATTTCAACACTCGGCACTTGTGCAGTTGCATTTTTTGGGACTTTTGACATTGAAAGTGCCAACGGACAATGTGATTATGCGCTCTCTCTGTCTTGTGCAGGTGATGGACCACTATTGGGTGGAAGGCAACTGCCCTGCCAAATGCGACAAGTGCCATAAGAGCATCAAGTGCTACCAGGGCCTTACGGGGCTACATTGCGTATGGTGCCACATAACGGTCAGCACTTGTCATCGCTTGCCAAAGTTAATTGGTGGTTTCTTATTATCACGACATTCATTTTTAGGCAGATATGCACTTCCGTGCGTGTGACACTTTTGGCAACATTACTTTAGCAAATGCAACAAGATCAGCTGCAATTTTTATTATTATTATTATCATTGCGAGGAGAACAAGTGGTGGGTTAACGGGTGCTAGAGTATGAAATGTGAATGCATGAATACATGCTGTCATTTGGTAACATGTTTCACAGCGCAAATCATTAGGCATGGACTGACTCAGTAATGCGTGAATTAAAACAGATTCTTACACTGGTGGTGCGTGCATAAACGTTGTCTATGCAAGAGTATGTTGTTTGCAACAAATGAGATGGAACAAACGAGACAAAAAAAATTGGAAGCTGAATCAAATTGTGACCCCCAAATAATTTGTCAATTATTGGGATGGATAAATTATAAAATGACAACAAACCATAGTTTTATAAATAAGGGAGGTGTGTACATGCATATATAAAGGTGTAAATACAAAATTTATATTATCCGCAATAATGCTCATGATTAGTTGTGTAATGTGTTATATCGTTTTGCATCAAATTGAGACCCATAACTTACAGACGGGTCCTTGCTTTTAAACAGCTGGAAGCTCACCAGCATTGCTTCAAACAAGCCTGAATCTGCTGATGAGATACTGAATGTCAAAACCGATCCAGATTTTGCTTGTGTTGAATCAGTGTTGCTGATATTACGCAACTTTCATAAGGCTGCGGAGCTGATGGGATGCGTAAAAATAATTACGTTTTTGATGTGCAGGGATATTAAAGGGAGGAATGCATGTTGTATTGGTTATCTACCGTGAATAAGTTGAATACATTTCTTAATGAATATACAGTACTCATGTTGGGATTGTATGTTTAATTTCTGAATGCCGATTCCATTTGCGAGCACATCCTGTATTGGAGGGGGGAACCTACAATGAGGAATAAAGGACATTAGACGCAACTCAAATACCCTGTATTGATTCCTCAAATGCATGACTCATGACAGAATGATACGCTTATAGATGAATGAATTAATGAATGACAGCACTATTGTGTTTAAGTACTCTATAAAATGAGTTCCATGGGTTGACAGTTGATAATAACACATTACCGAATAATTTTTTTTGTATTGTAATTTCCTGTTGGTTTTAATTATTGTTTGTCCAAGCCTTGTTACTGCATGATGATACTTTTAAAACCACAATGCTTTAAATAACTCTTTAATGTCCTGCTCATCTTAAATAACGCGCTGTTTACACATTAATAAAATATTATATTAAATGAAAGCACACACATTTAACATCTTACGTGTTGTATTAATATCTGCAAATCTATTTGCATGGTGGAATCATTTATATCCACGTGTTCCATTATATTATTGCATGTGGAAATATGTTCAGCGGTTAAATGCCAATGTCGAGGTCTGCTAGCCACGAGAGGGCTTCAGGAGAGAGTTAGTGTCGTTTTGCAAACTCCACTGAATGAGCGCAGACTACACTGGTTACTACATGGTCCATTGTTGCGTGCTCCAGAAAGAGCATGATTGCACCAGGATGTTAGATTGTAAACGCTAGCCTGTGCACTTTAAAGATGTGTGTGTGGGGACAAACCAGGGCCACCGAGCGGGGGGGGGGGGGGATGGGGGAGGAGAGGGGGCAGCGGCGGAAAAATGGGCAATTTTACTCGGGCCTCACACAAAAGAGGGCGACACAATGGGGGGGGGGGGGGGTGGGAGGGCTCACATTGGAATTCTGCCCCGGTTCTCCAGGAGAAGCCCTTGGGGAAACTGCCTTTAGATGACTTGTATGACTTGCCTTGTTACATCCTGCCTTGCAGCTGCACAACAAGTGTGCTTCGCACGTGAAGCCGGAATGTGACTGCGGTCAGCTAAAGGACCACGTCCTTCCCCCAAACACCATCTTCCCCTTGGTGCTGGTGAGGCGATTTGCATGATTCAGGCGAAGGCACGTCCGTCTCATTTAATTTATTACGCTTTTGAGCCAGCTGGCCAGGAGTGGGCAAAACTTAGCCAACTTAACCAAATAGATTTCTTGCAAACGGTATCTATTTGGTGTTTGAACATCTTAACATATGTTTTATTGCCAGAAAGGGTAAAACCTATTCTTTTTTCATACTTTGATACTGACAAAAATGTCGCATGATACATGATTTTTTAAACTTAATATCAATTGGTCCTCATACTGTCCTGAACACTATTTTAGCACCAAACCAGGAAATTTACAACACAGTGAGCACCAACTGAACGCTGCGAGGAAAATGTTTGCACCACCAGAACTATATTAACACGTCGAATTACATACACACGTACATCGACTTAGACACACATCGAATCACACACATCGACTCACACACACACACATCAACTCACACACACATCGACTGATACACACACACGGACGCAGACACACACATGGTGGCAGACACATACATGGACTCACACACAAGGACATAGAAACAATAATAAATATATTAATTTTGACCAAGTTAATTGATAAATATTAGTTCTCAGCACACAAAAATATCATAATATTTCCAAGGTGATTATTAAAATAATAGGTTTCTATGTACGTGAGTTTAGCGAAAGAAGCAAGGAATATTAATATTAGTTCTCTGCACACAAACATTATTAATCTAATATTTGCAAGGTGATTGTTTAAATGACAGTTTTCTATCAACGTGAGTTTAGCGAAAGAAGCAAGAAAATTGTACAGAACATTGCCGTGGTGAGGCCTAGTCCCATGCAGAGCCCCCGGCCTCGCCTAGATTGCCCAGCCGGCCGAGGTGGCACCTTGGCAGGCTGGGGGCTGGGCCGATACCCCCCCCCACCACCCCCCCGCCCACACTACAATAATACTATCTAAGCACTATAATATGAATATCTACGGACTCTATAGTAGTAACTGCACGCATCGGGGTGAGAGGGGGGGAGGACATCACGCTGTGAAGAATTAACCTCAGCGTTTAATGTTTTTTTATAGCATGTTTAACGCTAAAGCAAATTTCCCCCTCGCCCCAACCGAATGTGTGTGACTTGGTAGGGCCCTTCTCCCCCACCGAATGCGTGTGAGTTCGTATGGTCGATAGCGCGCTATTAAATACATAAATAAATGAAAACTGCACAAAATCATAAATAAATACATAAATAAATGAAAACTGCACAAAATCGCTAATTAAAGTACTTTAAAGTTGATGGATGGGAAAAAGGAATAGCGCTTGCTCAACACGGGGCTTACGGCGTGGTACCTGGCTATTTTTTTTTACGTGAATCCCACCATTTGAGAGACAAATCCCTCGCAAGCGTGCGCACACACACAGACAGACATAAAATTACATTTATAGGTAAGAGAAGATTAAATATATTTTTTAAAGAGTGATCAACGTACGCGTAAAAAAATATTCACAGCTTGGGTGAACTGAATATGGAAGTAACCCTTGGAATAAGGGAAATACAGCCCAATAATTTCATAGTGTGTTTGAGAACATTTCAACCCATTAGGTTATAATTGGAAGTCAAAGCTTCCCAATTTCACCAATCACCGGGAATACACGATAAAACAGTTCTACCTGCGCGGAAACTTTTTTGGACGCCCTGTACATTCTATAAATACATAAAGCTGGTTACAGACACCTGGCATCTTTCGACGCTAAAGCTCCGTTTCCCCTGTGTGTGCACGTGTGCGTATATGGACATGTGAGCCACAGGAGCGACAGATGTCAGTGCAAAGGACAGACAGTGGCAGCGGAGCGTCGCTGGACGACGACGTGCTGCGGCGTTTTCAGCGCACCAACTCGGTGACAGGCGACGGGCACGCTCTGCAGGTCTGTGTCTGGTGCAGCTGGGGGAGTTTGCCATGTCCACTGGTTTGGTAGTACACAGAGCCCCGGATGGATGCTGCTGGTAAAAAAAAAATGGTTTGGTAAAAAAAAAGACATCTTATAAAACACAGATACACAGAGCCCCGGATGTTGCTGGTAAAAAGAAAATGGTTTGGTAAAAAAAAGACATCTTTTAAAACACAGATACACAGAGCCCCGGATGTTGCTGGTAAAAAGAAAATGGTTTGGTAAAAAAAAATACATCTTTTAAAACACAGATACACAGAGCCCCGGATGTTGCTGCGGTGTGATGGTCAGCACACTGGGCTTTCAATCCAGAGGGTCGCCGGTTCCACTTCCCGATGCGGCAGTCGAAACAATGGGCACATTTATATTCTTGGTTCTTTCGAGTAAAGTCACATAGAAGGGAAACAATAAAATAATTAAAATATAAAACAATAAAAAATAATTATTATTTTATTCTTTCCCTTCTACGTGACTTTACCGAAAGAACCAAGAATATGAATCCCTGCAGTCACGAAAGCTTTAAATAAAAAAAATGGGCACATTATTAAACCCGTCCCACCTCTGCTCACCCAGCAGTATGCATGGGTGCACCAGAGTGGATCGGCATGTCGCATGTAGAGGGGTTAAGTGTGGGTAATCCCACTTCTTCATGGTGAATACATGTTATTCCGCAAGCCTCATCATGCACAAGAAGTAATTTGCTGTAGTGACTATCCCACCTGATGACGGAGGCTTGTGTTGCTTCCGAAACGTCGTGATTTAATTAACTTTATTTTATTTTTTTACCTACGTGACTTTACCGAAAGAACCAAAGAGTATGGATCATTGCAATCACGAAAACCTCAAATCTAGAATTAACCACCGTATAACATTCAAACATGACACTGCTGCTCAAAAAATGTTTTATGTCTAAGACTTTTGCACATGTCACCACAAACGAGTGCATGCTTGGTAGATTGAGGGAGTTTATTTTGCTGGAAAATTTTTTGTTTGTGGAGCCTGCGCTGAAAGCCAATGCTTCGAAATAGATAAGTTATATTGCGTGAAATTTGTAACGACACTGTAGCTATGCAAACTTAATATATAGTCGATAAGTATTGTGTTATTGTTAAGTAGTCTAGATTAGGTAGCAGCTAATCATGTATAAGAGTTCAACACAACCGATGCCATATGTATCACTGTACTGTGCAGTTATTTCCTTCCTTCTGCCGACTTCATCAACTGTTGCACCGTCGACATTCGACCGACCCCCAAGTGCCACTCTTACATCATCACGGCATCTTACTGAGTCACATATATCTTGCGTCAAGGCAACGTTTTGGTGAACAACATTTGAAGCATTTGAAATTAATTGGTTTCCAAAACAAAATCGTAGCGATGTTTTTCCCAACTTTACGTTGATTATGTGGTTTATTACATGATCTTTTCTTGCATGTGTCTGTAGATTACACCTACTACTGGCACCCACCCCTTGCTCGTTTTTGTCAATCCAAAAAGTGGAGGCAAACAAGGAGAAAAGTAAGAGAGCACTGACAGTACATGGCGAAACAAACTAAGTTGCTCAAAGAAACCTTTGGATATGTTGAATTCCTCCTAATAAAATTTTACATCATTAAATTATATATGTTTGTTCCCATAAAATACATATTATGACACGTACACAGCTTTCATTAAGCTTGCTGTAGTTACCATTGAAGTTCAATTATAACCTTAATTTTGCCTAAATGGCTTTAACAAGATAGATAATTGAATTTTGCAATGCAGTATGCATAAATATCTAAGCCGATATGTTTCAAAAATTTGTTGCACTGTGTGACAAAGTTAATTTTTGCTTTATTTTATAGGCTAATCCAGCAATTGGTGACAATCTCACGTAGGAATGCAGCTTAATGGTTTTGTAATTCATATTTGTATTATAGTAAGTTCAATCTTTTCAATAAAAGTTCATAAAAAATCTTTGAAAGAGTAACATTTTCCATTAGGTATTTATGTGAACACTATACACTGTATATGTATTTTTGAATAAATGTATTTTGGATGCAGTAAACAAATGTTTTATTATTGAAATCAGCTACATGTGACATTTTCTATCCAATCACAGACAGTTATAATCTGGCACAAGTTATAAAATACATATAAATCATCGTACATGGCTTGTGTGGTAATTATTAAAGAGAACCGATTCATAAGTTAATCAGCTTGAATGAATACATTTTGATTCACTTCAAATGAACTATTATTTCTACTTTGTAATGCAAAATCAGTGTATTATAAAATCAGCAAAGTACATCAAAATATAAACAAATTTTATCTATAATTCATTGTAATTTTCTTATTTTAACCACTGAAGAAGACATTGCATGCACAGTACTGTCATTAGTAATTTGAACAAAAACGATATTTTATATTTAATACTGTTATAACAGCTATAATGCATTGCCACAACTTGTGAATATTTTTTTTATAACCAATTAATTGATAGATAGCAAACGTGCATTCCAAATTTTAGCTTTTTCATTAACGTTGTTTCACTAAATTTTTGCAGAATTCTCCGAAAGTTTCAATACCTTCTCAATCCTCGGCAAGTGTATAACCTCAATAAAGGTGGTCCATTTCCAGGGTACGTGAAAATGCAAAGCACACAAAACCACTGAAACAGAATTGCATGGAGGCCCCTGCATGATCCAACCAGTTGTGACTGAATGTGAGCTTCAACTCTACAAATGTTGGTCTCAATCGTATACTCTAATTAATATACTTATAGTCTCTCTCTTAATTTCATGAATCCTTATAGATGATTGGACATCTGTGACAGCAGAAGTTATTGTTAAAAAGTTAGTAGCAGTACAGGGAAAATCTATGAGAAAAGCAAGTTCAGTCGTGCCGGCGCATATGCGCGTGTGCGCGTGCGTATATGTGCGTGTGTGCGTGGTTACGTGTTTATGTGAGCGGAGTTATATGAAAGCTGGAGCAATTGCTTCACGATTAACGCACTGCTCACCGCGTTATGGCATCAGCGATCCAGGTTCGATTATTGGCTATGCACAACGCAGACTCTCACTTATAAGAAACGTTTAAACTCAGATTTAGTTTAAACTAGCGGGAAGTACCCGGCGTTGCCCGGGTCTTAAAAATATTTCAAAACTACACTTAAAAATCTAACAGCAGTGCGTACTGACTGTGGTGGTACCTGCTATGATTACAGCAGTGCATACCGACTGTGGTGGTAGCTGCTATGATTGCAGCAGTGCATACTGACTGGTGGTACCTGCTATGATTACAGCAGTGCATACCGACTGTGGTGGCACCTGCTATCACTACAGTAGTACATGCTGACTCTATAGCAGCAATTATCGACTCTATAGCACAAAGTACTCGCCTGACAGAGTGGCGTGGTGAGGCCTAGTCCCGTGCAGAGCCTCCGGCCTCGCCTAGATTGTCCAGCCGGCCGAGTTGGCACCTTGGCAGGCTGGGGCTGGGCTGCTACCCCTTGACCCCCCCCCCCACCCCAGCCACGATCTCCCTGGCCGCTCTGCAGTAATATCTACGGCCTATAGTGGTAGCATCTAGCGACTGTATAGTAGTAATAACTGCACGCATCGGGGTGGGGGGGACATCACACAGTGAAGAATTAACGTCAGTGTTTAGTGTATTTTTATAGCAGTTTTAACGCGAAAAAAAATGTCCCCCTCACTCCCACCGAAGGCGTGTGACTTGGCATGGGTCGTGCACGCATAATAAATAAATGAATGAATAGCGCACTAAATCGCTCAGTAAACAAATTTTAAGTTGACGGAAGTGAAAAAGGAATAGCGCTTTTTTACCGGGGAGCTTACGGCTTGGTACCTGGCAATTTTATTTTACGTAAACCCCACCGTTGGAGAGGCAAATCGTTCGCAAGCGCGCGAACAGACTCAAACCCACAAACAAACCCACAGACAATTTTTTTTACTTTTATATATAGATGGTCCGTATAAAAACATGTTTAGTTGAATGTCAGTGTATTCAAAATACTTAGCATGCAAATGCCAGGAATCTTGCAGATGACGTCTTGAACCAATGATAGAGCACTCACTGTTCAGCCACTGGTCTATAAAAAACATTTCACAGATGTGACCCATATCGTTAAAGCCATTTCATGAGCACATAGCTCTTAATTTCTTACATGTGGTAGTCGTACATATACTTTTGACAAATTAATTAAGTCCAAGGTGGATCACTTTGCTTTTTCTTTCCACATCGTGTAATGTTTTCCTTCATTTAGTGGCATTTAGTCTTCATACTAATGGGCCTAGTTCTGTTACTAAGCTGCTGGCATGACACACAATGGGTGGGTGTGGTAAAAACTATAGTTGGATGATTCTCATAATTTCTAGCCTGGAGTCGCCGGCCCAATCTAAGTATCAAATACAATTGTCTTTGGGATGGTGGGATTGGCTGCATTATGGAATCGCTGTGGGGGACCAGGCTGTGTGGAGTCCAGCAAGGTGATCAGGCAAGAAGGGTGGGCCCTTGGCACCTGGAGGGCCTATTGAAATCATGATTGAAATTCATGGCGATGCCTATGTAATGTTTCAATGGCAATTGTGGTGATACTGGCTGGCGAGTATTGGTGTTTATATTAGCCAATAAACGTATTACCTAAGTATCTGCCATATATTTGAAATACGGGTTTGGTGCTGCCGGTCTGCTGGAATTGACTGCAATACCTTCCGACCGGTATTGATCGGAATATCCTTTGAAATAGAATTTGCCTGATTCCCAGCATGATCCCGATGTGGTGTTCAGGCAAGACGGGAGGGCGCGTGGGGCATGGATGGCCTAGTGGAGGCTGGCCTGGGCTTGGCTCTTACCCGTGCCAATGCATGGCTGGGATGCACAGAGCAGACACAAGCCTAAGCTCTACACACAGAAACTTTAAGTGTAAATTCTCGAACATATACTGAGGAGCTACGTGCATATGTAGCCTTGGCTACAGCCTAGCATATACATGGAGCAGCTGTGCTTATATTGACTGACTATACAGTGCATTATATGTGAGATCGTCTCTTAATTTATGCTACATTTCTTGACAGATTGAACTTCTTTCGTGACGTCCCCGATTTCCGAGTGCTCACTTGCGGTGGGGACGGCACTGTGGGCTGGGTTTTGGACTGCATCGGTATGTAACAAATGAATGAATTTCCTATCGGCACTGCAGAAATCATACTTCACTATGACAACTTTGTAAAAATAGCGTTCGATGTAGTGGATGAGTTATATTTGTACTGACACCACTTTCTTTTCCAGACAAACTTTCTCTGCCAAAGCGTCCACCTGTAGCAGTCCTTCCTCTTGGCACAGGAAATGATCTGGCTCGGTGTCTGCACTGGGGTGGCGGTAAGCGACGGTCCTCCAATGCTCACATTGACGAAGCCTACATGCACTGTAATCTATTCATATGGTGTCCGTGCCATCCTGTCCCGTTACTTGTTATTGGACCTTTTTCTTGGACATCATTCGTTTTCTGGACTGTGGCACCCTGTGTTTTGTGTGTGTGTACAGGTACCTTTCATGATTCCATTCCCCTATGTATGTATGTTGAGCTCTGTTCGCATCATGCGTATCCGACTGTGTGAATCGGAGGTGGCGGGGCAGGGGGGACAACAAAACATGTAAAAAATGTGTTTCTTCTTCAGTTTCTTATTCCTCTTGAAATGTGCTCTTGTTTCCATCAATGATTTTATTCTTGTTTGCATTGTAAAGTTCTTTGAGATGCTATTTTAGTGTTTAAGCACTCAATAGCACGAATCCATTTCCAATGCTAACTAAAATGCCTTGAATATATTAACGTTAATATATTTGGGGTACACCATGTCTACTGCAACAAACTTCATTAACCATTGAAATAACAGTTTATTGTGAATATTCTGATAGTCATTAAATAATTTACAGCCCTTTTGTTAACTTTCTGCTGGACATTCCTACACCATGTCGATCACGAGGGGTGTTCAACTACACTTCACCATGTTTGTCAGTGCAGGTTGGTGAAGGAGGCATCTAGCACTTGGTTCAGATTTCACTCACCAATGATGTTAGCCATTGCCGGGAATCGAACTCAGTTTCCTTTGGTTCATAGTTCAGTGTACAAACAACCACTGTGGGAACGGTCTACTCCTGTGAATATTATTCTTGAAATTCTGCTATGTTTAGTTGCAGGCCGAGTGAGATTGGGCTTTGGCACAGCACGCAATGCCCTGCTTTTACAGACAAAGTGCAATGAGCAATGAGGTGGCACTTATCTCTATCGGTAGCAAATGGTGGAAATTTCACACAATTCTGGTGGGGACCATTATCTGCACATTGTTACCACTCTACGCGTCCTACAAAGTGGTACTTATTTTATCGCCCTCAAAGGGATGACAGGCTCAAGATGTTGGTCTGTTTCAGGTTATGAGGGCGGCAGCCTGCGCAAGACCCTGAAGGACGTGGAGAACAGCACACCGCTCATGCTGGACCGCTGGAGTATCGAGGTCATTGCCACGGATCTCGACGAAAAGGGCGACCCTGTACCTTACTCCATCATCAACAACTACTTCTCCATCGGCGTGGCAAGTCCCACCCTCCACCACATCGTCACATGCCCACACATTTTCACGGCAGCTCTTATTCTGGCATATTCCTTGTCCTATGGATAGACTGCCCCCCTGCCTTAGGAATGTAGAATTTCAGCCACAGACTCTACCACCAACAGAGATTAGCACTTGACTACGCCTATGTGTGCATGATGCCTTGACATTTTTTCCTATTTCTTGAATCCGCAGCTCGTTTTAAGATTTTGAGTGTCTGTAGGTGTTCACCTATGATTATATGAGGTGTTGCCCTTCCAATCACGAGCATTATTCCATGTCATCTGGATGCCTCCTTCACACATCCTTACAGCGAGGGGAAAAAGTATTTGATCCCCTGCTGATTTTTTACGTTTGCCCACTGACAAATAAATGATCAGTCTATAATTTTAATAGTAGGTTTATTTGAACAGTGAGAGACAGAATAACAACAACAAAATCCAGAAAAATGCATGTCAAAAATGTTGTAAATTGATTTGCACTTTAATGAGGGAAAAAAGTATTTGACCCCCTCTCAATCAGAAAGATTTCTGGCTCCCAGGTGTCTTTTATACAGGTAAAGAGCTGAGATTAGGAGCACACTCTTAAAGGGAGTGCTCCTAATCTCAGATTGTTACCTTATAAAAGACACCTGTCCACAGAAGCAATCAATCAATCAGACTCCAAGGATGTCAGGGACAAGATTGTAGACCTACACAAGGCTGGAATGGGCTACAAGACCATTGCCAAGCAGCTTGGTGAGAAGGTGACAACAGTTGGTGCGATTATTCGCAAATGGAAGAAACACAAAAGAACTGTCAATCTCCCTCGGCCTGGGGCTCCATGCAAGATCTCACCTCGTGGAGTTGCAGTGATCATGAGAACGGTGAGGAATCAGCCCAGAACTACACGAGAGGATCTTGTCAATGATCTCAAGGCAGCTGGGACCATAGTCACCAAGAAAACAATTGGTAGCACACTACGCCGTGAAGGACTGAAATCCTGCAGCGCCGCAAGGTCCCCCTGCTCAAGAAAGCACATATACATGCCCGTCTAAAGTTTGCCAATGAACATCTGAATGATTCAGAGGACAACTGGGTGAAAGTGTTGTGGTCAGATGAGACCAAAATGGAGCTCTTTGGCATCAACTCAACTCGCCGTGTTTGGAGGAGGAGGAATGCTGCCTATGACCCCAAGAACACCATCCCCACCGTCAAACATGGAGGTGGAAACATTATGCTTTGGGGGTGTTTTTCTGCTAAAGGGACAGGACAACTTCACCGCATCAAAGGGACGATGGACGGGGCCATGTATCGTAAAATCTTGGGTGAGAACCTCCTTCCCTCAGCCAGGGCATTGAAAATAGGTCGTGGATGGGTATTCCAACATGACAATGACCCAAAACACAGCCAAGGCAACAAAGGAGTGGCTCAAGAAGAAGCACATTAAGGTTCTGGAGTGGCCTAGCCAGTCTCCAGACCTTAATCCCATAGAAAATCTATGGAGGGAGCTGAAGGTTCGAGTTGCCAAACGTCAGCCTCGAAACCTTAATGACTTGGAGAAGATCTGCAAAGAGGAGTGGGACAAAATCCCTCCTGAGATGTGTGCAAACCTGGTGGCCAACTACAAGAAACGTCTGACCTCTGTGATTGCCAACAAGGGTTTTGCCACCAAGTACTAAGTCATGTTTTGCAGAGGGGTCAAATACTTATTTCCCTCATTAAAATGCAAATCAATTTATAAAAAAAATTACATGCGTTTTTCTGGATTTTGTTGTTGTTATTCTGTCTCTCACTGTTCAAATAAACCTACCATTAAAATTTTAGACTGATCATTTATTTGTCAGTGGGCAAACGTACAAAATTAGCAGGGGATCAAATACTTTTTTTCCCTCACTGTACATGGTTGGTACTTGACAATTAACCCAACTCTGGCTTTGCTGCCATTGACGTGTGTCCTGGTGTTTACGTTTTCAAGTTTATTTTCATGATGCACCAGGTGGGAAGTCAAGAGACCAGTGTGAGTGACCAACAAACAAAGTACAGCAATGAAGTAAACAGCAATCAGAACAAACCTAAAATAAAATAAACTACCGTATAACGCAAGGAATCGAAAATATTACATAAACACAAATCAATGTTAAATCAAAGCTAAATATGAAATTCCCTGCAGTGAAAAGTGTATTAGGTGGATTGTCTCCTGACTGATCACAGGACTAATTACAAATCTAGGCTTCAGGAAAATTAAGCAGATATAGGTTGACTATAGTACTATCATGAAAACCGACAAGGGAGACATCAATGTTTGTATAGACTGTACAAAGGGAACTGTGAGATTTTCTCCTGCTACCCATAGGATCTTCTTTTACGTTGTTTTAGTTTGCCAGTTTGAGCCTTGGGATCTTCGCTGTGACAGTTATTTTTTCTTTGAATTCTAATCGCTTAATTTCTGCACCCTATCCTTAATTTTTGGTTCTTTCGGTAAAGTCACGTAGAAGGGAAATAATAAAATAAGAAAAATAAAACATCATAAAATTCCCACGACGTTTCGGGCCACAACGCAAGCAGCCGTCCTCTCATCAAATATATGAGAGGAACTAAATATTGGTAGGACCACCAGCTTTAAATCAAAATCATCCTGGTCTCTTGAGTTCACACCTGGTACAATAAATACATGCGGATTGAGCAACTTGAAGCCACCCACAGTACACTTAACTTAATTGTCTGACCCTAACCGTTGTTATTTGTCCAAGTAGTCTTATTTTGATGCACACGCTCGGGCATCTTCCGCTCGTACAAGGGGGCCTACTGCTCACCGCCGCATGCCGATCGCTTCCCGTGCACCACCAGTAGGCGGCGCTCCCTCTGGCTGTCGTGTAATTTTATTTAATTGTTTGGTAACAAACAAACAAAAACACTCGTGAATGGTTTGCATTCCCGCAGGTCACATTGAAAGATTAAGAGCTTCAATTTGATATAAAACTTATGTCTGTAATGTGTGGATGAAGGCGATTTGGATCCAAATATTAAATAAAATAACCCCATCCGCCCCCATCAAATCTATGAGAGGAACTAAATATTGGTAGGACCACCAGGATGACAATGACGCCCGAGTTGAGCTCAACACATTTACTGCTATGGCTCACAGTGAGAATGGGCAATCGCGTATTTCTGGATGAATCTTCCCGGCCCTTCTCGCTGGTGCATTCACACGTCTCCAACATCCTGTCATGGGCATATAATTTCGAGTTTCCAGCTGATGCAGTATTATTACAGCAGGTGGTGCTCCAGCTACAAATATGGTGGCCTGGATTTTCTTGGAAGTTATTCACATTGAAGAAAAGTAATATTCGACATGCGAGGTTTCAGTACAACAAACTTTGGATTGATTACCATTATTTTAATGGTTACCATTATTTGAATGGTAATAAAAAAGAAACTAAAATAATAAATCAAAGAACTAAATAAACATTACATTTATCAGTCTCTGGTAGTATATAAATGCAAATAAAATTATGTCTCTTCAATATATTTCTTCTATTTAAGTCAATGTTTTATTTTCATACTGTACAACATAACATGTGATTTTATTTTCAATATAAATGATCTTTGTTTATAATATGAATGGTAAGTTATTGTTTTATATTTTTTATTATTTGATTGTTTCTCTTATATGTGACTTTACCGAAAGAACCAAGAATATGAATAAGTTATGAAGTGTTTATATTATGAAATGATAAGTTATGAAGGCTGGAAACGCATCCTCATAGTACTAATGTTATAACATATTCAGTATACGAAGTTTAAACATACGAAGCTCCAGGAACGCATTAACCTCGAATATTGAGGTGTTACTGTATATATTTTAGTCTTTGAACTCGTAGTGATTCAGAATATATTGAAATGCTTCATCTAATTCCATAGAGAATCACGTGAGACTAAACAGTGAACAATAGCTGCAGTTTTTCCACTTGCAAACAATAACTTGTAGCAGTAGTAAAACAGGCAGCTTCGTAATGCTGATTTACTTATGTTATGTTGACTAAATGAAAGGAGCCATACACTACTAGTTTTCAAACATTTCGAGTTGATGTAGTTTGGGAATTATAACTTTAAGCCACTGTTTCGCATGTTGGTGTCGGAAAATTGCAGTCTTGGGTCCTCAAGACCAGCTCTCGCCCTCAATGCCAGCTTCAGGACATTTTCTCAGTGTCTTGTCCTTGACCTCTGTTCTCGCGGGTGTGGCCTCGGTCATAGAACTTGGCTTCGAGGTCCTGGCCTTGACACTGCCCTTAGCCTAGAGGATGCAGCCTTGAGGTTGCAGCCTTGACTGGCCTTGACACTGACCTTAATCTAAAAACTCCTGGCTTCGACCTTGGCTTGGCCTTGTGGCTCAGCCTAGGTCTCATAGGTCCTGGCCTTGAATCCAAGAATGGAAAATTTACAAGCGAGAGTTCACAAACTCTAAGCCATTAAGGCCGAGAGATAATATACAGCCACAATGTAATGCGCTCAGTGCAATGATTATGACTGTTTCGCAAAATCCAGTTTTTTAAATCATGAGGATTAATGACGGATTCCAAATCTTAACTTTTTCCCCCAAGTGAAAATAAAAGCTAAAGGTCTTAATGTGTGTCTAATACATGACACGACATTTAATTTTATGTTCAAATGAGCATAAGTTGAATTTCAGTGCAAATGGATGGAAATATCTTGAGAGCTCGGTGTGGGCTCGATATTTTATTTCTTGGGGAAGTTGTTAAATGACTAGCATTCATCACAGTGTGTGTGGTAGCAACAAAGGGCTGTGGTAAATTGTGTACAGGCTGTGCTTTATTTTATTGCCTCGTTATCTTGAAGTTTTAAATTCAAGTTGGACTCCTTTTGTTTACAACAGCTGTAATCTTTTGTGTGTCAGGATATATTATGATGAGCATCCTTATTTGTATCATTATGTATCTGCCCAGTAACTCTATGCTGTTGTCATGTAGAAATGTGTTTTTG